CCTGATCAACAAAAGTCAACTGTTGTTCAATGGGGTCAAAATCTTGGATCTCAAGGTCAACCAAGGGTATGCTATGTGTTTTCATGTGTTTGGAACAAGAAGAGTCAAGAGGAAACATAAAATCAGGAGTTTGGTTGGATTAGGGTTTGATAGAAATATTTTCTAAGTGTTGAAAACCCTAATTCTAGCCATTTTGCAACTTTCATAACTTTCTCATCCTTAATCCAATGGGAGCAAACTTGTTATAAAATTAAAGAGGACATCATGAACTACAATTTTGTAGAAGAAAGAAAGTCCAAAAGATTCATAGTTTGAGAGATATGATCGGCTAAAGTTGAGAAAGTGGAGATTTTGTCATTTCAACACTTAGAATTTTTTCTAAGTATGGAAATTCAGCTTGAAGTGCATGTTTTCAAGCCTATTTTACAGGATGATGCAAGCTTCAAATGATTTTTACTTTAACATAAACATTGTAGAGCATCCTTCAAGCTTTCTTTTGAGTACTAGATCATCTCCATTGGATGTGTAGAGCTCAAGTTATAGTCTCTCCAAATTAGGGTTTCAAAGTTGTCAAGATTTGACATGTTTTAGGAAGATTTTTGGGGCTACTTTCCAAGACACTTTTCACCATGTTCTTGACGTCAAATAAATTTCCATTCAACATAAAATTTTAAGATCATTCTTCAAGATTTATATCCATTACTAGAACATCTCCATTGGATCAAAACTCCTTAAGTTTTGTGGATTCAAAGATGAGGTTTCAACTATGTCAAAGTTCCTAACTTATAATTTTTTCTAAGTTATCTTGGGCATATTTTGAAACATGATTTTAAAACACTTCTTTCATGACTTTCTAAGGCTTATCTCAAGGTGCCAATAACATGAAATATGTTCATTGTAGTCTTGGCTTTGCATTGATCAAAAGAACTTTTGTTTTGCATCAAAAATCACCAAGATATGATCAAAGAAATTATGATGTTTGAACATGATTTCAAGGGCATGGTTTGTTACTTATCTTTGGCACAATGTAGACTCATTTTTGCAGCATGTTTCATCCTAATTTACACACACCATACCACTAGTTTTATGTCACAGAAGCCTTACCATAAAAGAGCCAACATGTCATGAACAATTGCGTTCTTTATGGACAAGCATTACCATATTTGGAAGAGGACAAAAGGGAACATTTAGACTACTCCATTACCTTTCATTTTGTTGGTCTGCAACCACTAAAAAGGACAATCATGAGTGCTATGATACACAAGAAAAGCCCGATCCATCTCTTTGTTATTTCAAATTTTCACCAAGTTGTGACCATGAGCACTTTAACCACTATGACTCAGTTTTAACCTCACAAACTTCATATATATTGAAAGGAGAAACCCTAGAAGCAAAGAGGATCATTTTCTGCAGCTAACCATAAGATATTATCTCTCTCTCAAGTTCCGTAAAGCATGATAAAACTTCGTGGCGTGTTTTCTTCATGTTAGATACATTATAACTGCTTTTTGATGCTTAATCCGTGATCTCCTTGAAATTTCCTTCAAAATGATGTAAGATTTTGTTTGTTTTCGTAACATTTGGTTTTTCTCCGGCAGAGAGTCGCCTTAGAAGACGACCGGAGCCCTAGCTCCGGCGTCTGAGATGATTTAATGATGTGGCGTGTATTGACTTTGGTCTTGCATGCATGGAGCCTTGCTGGTCATGATGTGAATAAGTGGATCACGCGTGGGATTTTTTGTTGTTGTTTATCTTGTTTGGATCATGGGCCTAAGGATTTTTTCTTTTTGAACCCCCTATTATTAGGCCCAACACGCATAACAACATAGCCTCAGTTCATTTTCTTTTTGCTGATAAACCCCTGCCTGTTTCTTTTTCTTTTATTATTTTATTTTTTATCCTTTTCTCACTTTAATTTCTTTTTAATATTTCCTTCACATTAAAAATTGTTAAGAATATTTTTTATACACTCTGACATCTCTATAATTTTGTCATATTTTTTATTTTTATTTTTCATTTGTTTTTCTATGTTATTTGAATTTTTCTTATGAATGTGTTTACCAAACTACCCTTAGATTAGGGTTTGCATTTTGATGCACTTGTGAAGGCTTTCTGTAGACATGTTTTTAACCTTGCTTTGAAATATGATTAAGCTATGTTTGGATGTTGGTTTGATGCTTTGGTAATCACCTTTTGGTTGATTTATATTTGACTTTGTTTGACCCTCAATTCTTGCTCGATTAGTTGAGTACTTGCTCTTGTTTGATTCATTTGATGATGTTTTCTTGCCACTTTTGTTGTGATGCTTTTCCATATGGTTCCTAACACACATGACATGATTTTGAGCATTCTTTTGGATTTTATTTTCTCTTGTTGTTATTTTTGGATGAACCATCAAAATGTGTTTGTTTTAACTATGAGTTTGTGCATGTCTTGCCATGATATTTTGTATTTTATTCTTGAATGATCCAATGAGTGTTTTATGATCTTTCTTGGCTTCCCTTAACATGTCTTAGGTTCTGGTTCTCATGATTAGAGGTCCATTGTATGCTCATCTTGTTTCATTTACCTTGCATGATCTTGTACTTCTCACATGAACAATTTGAGTTTGTGTTTGCTTGTCTTTGGTGCTTCAAATTGTATTTGCTTCTTCTTGACCTTGTTTGTGGATTTCTTGTGAACATGATACATGCCATTTGAGTTTGTTTCTAATCATTTTGGATTGATACTTGATTGTGTATACCTTTGTATGAGTGTCTCCTATCTTGGATTGATTTTTGTGTATGTGTTTATTCTTGAGGCATGTTTTGAGTTCAACCTTTGATGTTTCCCTTAGTGTGTTCATTGATAAATTCTTGAGTTGATAACCATGTTATTGTTGCTACCCACACTCAATCCCATGCCCTAATTTCATGTCTTTCCCTTAGGGTTATGTTGTTTATGTTTGTTTTTGTGTAGCATGTGCTTTTATTGTTAATGGAATGCATGATTTGGTTATTTGTGTTTTTTCCTTGATTATTGACATTGTTGGATATGTTACGATGTTGATACTGTCCCATCTTGTTTCTCATCTCATTTGACTTCATTTTACTTCAATTTGTGTTTAATATTGCTTCTTGTGAAATGTTTGAGTCATTTGGTTGTATTTGGGCATTTTGTTTTGACATTGTATTTTGATCTTGTGACATGATTTTACATTGTGATTGCTCTTGGTTACTTTTACCATAATGTAAATGTTCACTTTGTATGAGATTGAGATGTGTGTGTTTGATACTTCTTTAAACTTCCATGTTTGTTCTTTTTTATTGTATCTTCCTCTTTCTATTACTTTCTTCTTCATCTCCTCAGTCTTTGAGACTTGTTTAAGTTTCATTTTTCATTTTCATTTGTGATTGAATTGGATAGTGTTTACTTGTGCTTGATCACATGATCCCTTAGAATTCCTAGTCCCACTTAATTTCTGATTAAGGTGGGAGTAGGAGAGACATTAGGCTTTCAATCCTTTGCATGATAACAATTAGGATAGTCCCTCTTTGACCTCAAATTTAGGTCCATCATTTGTATGATAACATTAGGTAGACTTCTTTATTATCCTAACTTTAGGACCATTTTGTATGATAACATTAGGGTTTTCAATTCCCTTTAGTGTTTTCTTTTTTAGTCTTCTCTTCTCATCTTAAACAACTCTAATACACTTAATAAAGAATGATGTACGTTATGCGCCACGAGCCTTAAGCATATGGGAAATTATGAGTGGGGGGGTTTCTCCTCACTTGTCTAGAGTATTTAGTGTATGCCCCTTGGGCGATATGCGACGCATTCGCTCCTATATCATAGTATTTAGTGCAACGTGAATCTCAAACAAATTCAATTCACTTCTCTAAAAATCTTTAACAAAATTCAAACCTTTTTATCCTTCGAAATTGTTCTTTAAAATCATTTTCAAAAAAGAGTACGTTATTTTTCTGTTCTACTACAAACAGGTATCGACCCTAACTACTGGAATGGGAACTTAACGTTGCTCATAAAAAACACTTAACCAACCTGTGGTTTAGTTACCAGAACTACGTTTGCTCTGATTTCTCATACCAGATGAGGATACGTAGGCACAAGACGGTGATGTCTTGGCGAGCAACCTTGCTCCATCACCTGTAGTTTTCCGAACTATGTTGACTCTGACTTTCCCATTGCACGAGGGAATACGTAGGCATAGGGCGGTGATGTCCTATCGAGTCTCTTTCTTTTTTCTTTGTTCTCGTTTCCGTTTAGCAGTAGCTTATAGAGAACTCACCCTTTGATTCGGCAATAAGCATGGATCTCGTTGAGTACAACGAACATGAGGGGGTGCTAATACCTTTCCCTTGCTTAACCGACTCCCGAACCCAAGATTTGGTTGCAATGACCTTGTCTTCTCCTATCTCTTAGGTTTTCTTCGACCGTTTCCTTTCCCTCTCTTTGGGATAAATAACGTTCGGTGACGACTTTTATGTTTGTTTCTGCTGGTCTTTTTCACAGTTGCGACAATATAATATTAATATTTAATTATTTTGTTTTAAGAAAAAATATCTTGGTAAGGCTAGCCTAAATTATGCATTTAAATGCAGCAACATCAAACAAAGAAAAATCACCTAAAATGCAACAACATGAAACAAGAAACAAAAACCACTTTCTTCATCTTCAACCAACAACGACATCACCATCCTAAAATCATATCCATTTACGAGTTCTTACTTTTCTTTCAAAAAACACTTACATCCTCATAGATTCATCCATCAGCCATCATCTTTAAAAAACCAAATTCATCTATCAACTTCTTCTTCCATCATTGTTAAAAGCCTTATATAAAATTTATAAGTAGACAAAAGAAACCTTGTATTTAAATCTATATCTGCCATCTAAGTTCCAAGAAGGTTGTTAAACTCTTGTTTTCCGGTATCCATAGGGGAGGTTTTAATTCTTAATCTTCGGATTAGAGACTTCCTTGGGTGGTTGCTAGAACCATGAGGCCATTGAGGAACGATGAAGACTGGGTGAAGCTAATGGGAAAGAAAAGAAGATATCTCAATAAGTTATCAATTTGGAATGCTAGACAAGGTAAGGATAATGGGATGGGAGAAAGAATTTTATCATTCTTTTTTACTGAATTCCCAGATGACTATGAGGCGGAGGAGATGGCAGAGATATTTAAAGATTATGGATTGATCTCAGAAGTGTTCATTCCAGCCAAAAGAGATAAGAGAGAAAGGAGATATGGATTTGTGAGATTTTGGAAAGTTAGTGAAGATAAGCCATTGGCTGCAAAGCTTGATAGTATCCCGATCGAATGGAAGAAGATTTATACAAACATCCTAAGATTTAAAAGGTTTTATGCCAACGGGATTTCAAAGGCAAACAGTGATAAGAGGAAAATGGATGGTGGCAACTTCCATGGAAATAGGAGGAACAGTGGGATAGTTAATATTGATTTTATGGATAGATTGTTTGCATAAGTCGTCAGAAAAATGAAAGAAGATGACAGGAGAACAAAATATCAAGGAATGGTGAGATATAATAAGATTGAAGAGAAACCTACTTTTGCCCATCTTCAATAAGAGTCAATGAACATGAAATGACGAGATTTCATAAGGCTTATGTGGGGATGGTAGGAAAATCAGGATCTATATACGGAATACAAGAAGCTTTTAACGAGAAAGGATTATTTAACATAAATGTAACTCCATTGGGAGTAAATCATTGTCTTCTGAAAGAATCTGAACCTGGTGAGTTAAACACAATCATAGAATAAGAGAGGGAATGGGTGGAAAGATGGTTTAATGAGATTCATCCTTGGTCTCCAGATGACATTGATAATGAACATCTCACTTGGATGAAATGATATGGTATCCCATGTCACGCATGGAACCATAGGTATTTCAAATTCATCTCTGGCCGCGTTGGAAAATTTATTTACTATGATGAAGAAACAGAGAAACATCTAAACTTTGATGTAGCAAGGTTCTTAATCAAAACGAAATTATCAATAAACTTGAACGAAGCTTTTAACATGGAGATCAACGAAAGAATTTACAAAATAAAACTTATAGAAGACTACCATGGGCCTAAGAGAATTGTGGTGTGGAAGAAAGTTGAGAAGGTGAGCGAATCGGAGTTGTCCTATTAGAGTCGGAAGACAACGACGGCGCGTGGGAATCAAAGAACGATTCTGATACAAACGAAGACGAGGGGGTGTTCAGGACATTGGCGGTGAAAGGGACATGGAAGGTTCTAATTCCAAAATGAATAAGGTGGAAAATTAGGAAGATCAGTCTTAGGAAGGATGTTGGGCATGAGGATAAGACAGATGGATAGAGGATTAATGATGGAAAGGTGATGTCAGTGGAAAAGTCACTTCTTGGAGTTGTGGTATCAAACAAATCTAATCATTTTTTAGGGGATTGTCTGACACGTTAGAGAAAATAGGTGTTGAAGAAAGTAAGGAGGTGACGGTATCGTGCTTACCAAGAGAGCCATTCATGGGCCGAGGAAGGCAAATGGGCCCAAATGTAGATTTGTATGACCCAATTTAATGCACCATAGTTAGACCCATATGGCCTATGGTTTGCTCCAAGCCCAAGAAAATCAAACTAATTAATGACATTTACGAGAGCATCAAAATCCCCTTTTCCCCTTCATATTTTTTAGCTTTAATTCATCATTCAGTCACTAGAAAATCTAGTCAAAATTCTGAGGAATCCAACAATGGATGTTCATCGAAGGATGAAGGCGTTCCATCACAACACTCAGGTGGTTCGGTTCTTTGTTGTGCATCTATTAGTGACTCGGACTTTCATCGTGGCAACAATAGAATAAGGAAGTCCATTGGTAACATCCCGTCCAAAGTGTGGAATTCTATCAAAGAAATGGGAGTAGAAGGAGAAGAAGATGAAAAAAATATTTGAAATGGTCATAAGGGAAATGGAAAGCAGAGATAGAAAGATTTATGAAGAGAGGAAGGGGCAGAAATTAGAGTCCCATGAATTGTATGTCATTCAATATTCGCGGGTGTGGATCCTCTCTGAATAAGAAGGGTATGGTAAATTCTATCTGAAGGAAGAGCAAATGTCTGTTTTCTTCAGGAAACTAAGTTACAGATAGTGGATGATTCTTGTGTTAAGAATATTTGGGGAATGGATGAGGTGGGATGGTCTGCATCAGTGTCATCTAGTCAATCTGGTGGTCTGCTCTCAATATGGAGGAATGAAGTATTCAAATCGGAGTTTAGTTTCATAGGAGATGGCTTATTAGGGGTGTGTGGGAAGTGGAAAGGATTGTGTTCTTATCAGTTCAACATATACTCTTCATGTAATATTGCAGAGAAAAGGATGATGTGGACGAAACTTATCAACACTAAGAGGAATCTCTAACAAAGTGAGTGGCTAATAGCAGATGACTTTAATGCAGTAAAATTGAAGGAAGGAAGAAAGAAATGGTAGAGGGTCTAGCAGTGTTACTGAAGTGGTGGATTTCTCAAATTCTATTGATCTTATGGAGTTAATTGGTGCCTGTAATAGGTAATGCTTTTACCTGGTTTAAAGCCAATGGCAGTTGCAAAAGTAGACTCGACATGTTCTTAATTTCTGAGGGTCTTCTAGCTATATGGGGTGTGGTGGCTCATAGGGTTGGGGAAAGAGATGTATCTAATCACATAACAATTTGGCTAAAATCTAATATGGCGAATTGGGGATTAAAGTTGTTCAAGGTTTTTAATTGCTGGTTTGAGAATCCTTCATTCTTAAAATTTATGGAGGAAACTTGGGAATCTGTTATTATGGAAGGAATCCCTAGTCATGTACTTGTGGAAAAGTTTAGAATCCTTAGGGAAAGACATAGGTGGTGGGACAAGAACCTATTTGGTTGGGTGGATCTAAATGTGGAGTATGGTGTGAAGGCCTTAAAGGAGACTGAGGACGATTTGAATTGTGCAGAAAGAGTTAATGCAAAAGAGACTCTCAAATTGAGAAGCATTGTAATAGAGAGGATTTGGAGAAATCTGAAACATAAAAAAAGTATGAATCAAGCAGAAATCAAGCTCAAAAATGGATGGGTGAAGGAGATTCTAATTCACGGTATTTCCATTCCTTGCTCAAAAGTAGATTAAGAAAAAACAACATCTCTTCTGTAAAATCTGGAAATATCCTGGTGGAAGATGTAGAACAAAAGAAAAGTTGTACCAAATCCTTCTATGAAGAAAAATTTAAAGAAGTTACAGGTGGGAGAATACATCTGAACATAGCTGGGTTATGCAAACTAACAGGGGCGGATAATGACATGTTGATTCAACCTTTCTCTGACGAAGATATATGAGAAGCTATCTCATGTGGTGACGAAAATAAAAGTCCAGGTCCAGACGGTTTCAACATGAACTTCTTGAAACATTGTTAGAGCATAATAGGAGGTGATGTTACAAATGTTATAAGACATTTCCATAAGTACGGGCATTTACCTAAGGCATAAGCTTCTTCCTTTATAGTGCTCATTCCCAAAATATAAAACCCGCAGTGCCTTGATGATTTTATACCTATTAGATTTGTTGGAAGTATCTATAAGGTAGTTTCAAAAATAATGGCGAAAATACTAAGTAATGTCATGGAAAAGTTGGTTTCCAAATCACAAACAACATTCATACCAGGTCGGCAAATGCTTGATGGAGTGCTCTTAGTGAATGAACTACTTGACTTGGCAAAAAGAAGGAAAGATAGATGTGTGGTCTTCAAAGTTGATTTTGCACAGGCATACAATTGCGTCGATTAGTCTTTCCTTGAGGAGATCCTAAGGGAAATGAATTTTTACCCTAAGTGGATATCATGGATCAAAGGAGGTGCTTTAAATTATTATCTTTCAGTCATCGTTAATGGCGGAACCACAAGAGATTTTAAGGTCTTAAGAGGTCTTAGACAAGGGATCCCTTGCCCCCTTCTTATTTTCACTGGTAGCGGAGTGTCTTGCGGAGATGATGAAGCATGCCAACAATAAGGGAATTCTGAAAGGTTATAAGGTGATGGAAAAAGAATTTGTCAACCTCGTGGAATTCGCAGACGACGTGATCCTTGTTAGTGATGGTTCTTGGGAGAACTTATGGGGAATGAAAGCTATCTTGAGAGGCTTCAAATTATTTCGTAGCCTACGTGTTAACTTCTGGAAAAGTGGTCTATTTGGCATTGGTGTTCAATCTTCATTCTTGGAAGATGTAACACCTTTTATGGCTTGTAGAATTGGATCACTACCATTCAAATTCTTAGGATTACATGTTGGTGGCAACCATAGAACTCTGTCTTTTTGGACTCTTGTATTGGATTGTTTCAGAGCAAGACAGCTGTCATAGCGTGGGAAGTTATTATCAGTGGAGAGCAAAGTAATACTCATAAATTCTGTACTCACAAACCTCCCAGTGCACCACTTTTCCTTCTTCAAAGTCCCTTCCAAGGTGGTGAAAGAACTGGTAGAAATACAAAGGAACTTCTTATGGTCAGGTGCACACGAGAAACACTGTATTGCTTTGATGTGCTGGGACAAGGTATGTTTGCCAAGAAATTGAGTTGGATTGGGTATTAAAGATATTTCAATGTTCAAAGTTGCACTACTGTTCAAATGGCTATGGCGTATGATAAACGATCACTAGGCAATCTAGCGTGGAATACTCACTTGCAGGTACAGTGATTTAATTTCTAGAATTCTTCTCAAGATAAAACCAAGGTCTTCTTCTGCTAAATATTTATAGTGGAAAGATCTAATGAAAATTGGAGACTCAATGGTTGAGGGTGGATTCATAGATCAACTATCCTGCATGCTTGGGCCAGGCACGAAAATCTCATTTTGGAATTGTTGTTGATTGGTGCATAAACCATTGAGAATTCTATTCAATGATTTATTTGGGCACTCCCTTGTGAAGTTAGTTGTTGTTGCTGATATAGGCAGTTGGGAGTTAGGTGTGTGGAGATGGAAGTCTGATATCTTGCAGCAGGGAATGCCAACAAAATTGACTGAGAAATTTCAAGCGCTGAAAGATTTGCTTGGGGAGTTTAGGCCTGCATTGAAGACGGTTGACAGGTTTATTTGGAAATCTGGTAGTAATAGTTTCTTTATTGTTAATGCTTGCTACAATACTTTCATGCTTCATTCTGGTTTATCCAAAATCGAGATTATTTCCAAGATTGTTTTGGATGTTTTATGGCAAACAAAGATTCCATCGAAAGCTCGATTTTTTGGGTTGAGGCTTGTTTGGGATAGACTTCCAACAAGAGTTAATCTGGCGGCTAGGGGAATAATCTCAAATCCACATGATTTAGTGTGTGTTTTGTGTTTTAACGTCGTTGAGGACGTCAATCACTTATTTTGTACTTGTCATTGTACTGATCTTGTTTGGCGTAAACTTGCAGGTTGGGTGGGGATTCCTTGGATTGATGGGGAGAGTGTGAGTGAGCATTGTTTGAAATGGTTCATGAGGGTTGTG